AATGCCTGATGAACTATCTTAATTATGCAGATGTAAAGGGTGACATTTTGTGCCACTATCTATAATTTAGTTGAAATCATAGAAATTACAGCATACAGAAAACAGTCGGTTATCTGCAGCATTTGACCCACCGAATGATTGAGAACCTAAAAGCACATGGTATTTTATATTTCGGGATAAAGAGTAAAAGATATATATCTCTGTTTAATGTTCTTTATACCGAAATATAAAGGCTTCATTGCTGGATCAATTCAAATCTTTAAGACTGAGGTGGATAGATTTTCCTTAGGTAAGGGTATCAAGGGATATGGAGCAAAGGCGGATGAATGGAGTTGAGGTACAGATCAGCCATGATTTAATAGAATGGCGGAACAGGCTTGAAGGGCTGAATGGCCTACTCCTGTTCCTATGTTCACATTTCTCAACACTAAACTGCAGCAGCCATACCATGTGTTTCTGATTTCTCAGCCACTCTTTTCTTTGGCACACTCAAACACCTCAAATTCCACATTCCACATCAACTGTATTCTCTTTTTCTATACATTCCCCAATTCAATTGAATGACTTAAGTATGATCTAACCATTAACATTTCATGCTGATTGGATCTCTCGGATCAATCCCTTCCTATCCGTGTTCACAACCTTCATCCTGTGTTATGATTTTCTGCTGGATTTTTTTTTCTTTTGGTCAGCCGGGTGTCTGACACATGCAGAAAGCCATCTCTATGCTTAAGAATATCCAAACCAAGCTGAGATTTCCATGCATCCCCCCTACACATTGAAATCCCAGAGATTGTTGGAATGGAATGCTCACTCTTTCTCTGGAGGGAGGCAAGCTGCTTACCTAATTCCGGAAAGTATTAGGCACAGGCTGGCAAGAGCCAAAGCTTGGGGACCCCAGAGTGCACGTTAGGGTAACAGCTGTGGAACAGGCTCCCAAGGGAGACGGTTGAAGCAGTAAGTGTTGATTCTTTCAAACACAGATTAGATCATTTTCTTCCAGGAAATAACATTATGGATTATAGTACATAGGTAGTTTGAGTCATATGAGCAAGCGACTGCCAGGAAGCTGGAAGGCTAACTAGATGGACCTTGTTTTTTTTTTGTCTAGCATTTCTTATGTTCTTATGCTGGAAGAGACCCCAACTGGGAAAAGTATGGAAACTCACTGATAGAGAGGAAATCAGGTCTTGAGTACCGATCGTCTGACTGTTACAAACATTGGGTGCTCCTTATTATCTTTAAAGACTTGCATTACTCTCTGTTCCGTATCACTACTCTCTGCATCCCTACCGTGTGTCACCGCACTGTTTTTATGAGAACATTTCCTCTGATTCTGAGTTTGTATTCAGTTATTCTTGTTATAATATTTCTCAGAAGACTTGGCCCCGATATTGTTTAATCTCTGCTGCATTTATAACACCTCCTCCTCCTTTGGATACCTGTTTCATGTCCCCTATCAATTAGGATGTTCCTTAACTTAACAGGTCTGTTTATGCAAAGCATTCTTGTAGCGTGTCAGTTTAATCTCTCACCCATCTTCCACTCGACAAGAATCAGACATACCATATGAACCACTATTTTTATGTACACCATTATTTCCAAAACGATACGCTTTATTCTCTCTGTTTTAGTTACAAACAATCCAGCTGCCTTTCAGCACGTCATTGTCATTTGCTTTCCTTGTCTTACATTTCTGTATTTTCTCCTTGGCCTTGATCAGTCACAACTGTGGCTTAGTCTTGTTCACCTGTGCATCAGCCTTTAAATCTGTCTGAAATGACTCCCAATCATTTTCATGTATTATGCAAACGATTGGCCCTGTCTGTATATAAATGAAGAAAATAAGAAGCTAGAGTGGATATTTATATATTTATATTGGATATATTTCGCCCACAAAATACACAGTATATCCTGTGAAGTGTTTGAGGTGTCTTGACAATGTGATAACAACAACAACAAAATTACATCTGTAAAGCGCATTTCACGTCGGGAGGACGTCCCAAGGTGCTGGACAGACAGAGTTATGGACCCGAGCTGAGGGTCGGGGTGGGGGAGGGGTGAGGGCAGGGTGGAGGCAGGGATATCGAAAGCACGGTCGAAGAGAAAAAGGCTCTAAATCAAATGAGTATCCACATTTCTGATGACACTGCACGATATAGCACAGTGAATGTTGAAGAGAACAAGAAGCTGCAAAAGGTTAGGCGAATGGGCAGAATCATGGCAGGTGCAGTTCAGGGTGGCAAATTGTGAGGTCGTACCCTATTCTCGGAAGAATTCCAGTACTATAGTTAATACATACTGAAAGGGGAATTGTTCGTCAGGACTCATAGACTGACTGACCAGACCTGATCTGAACTGTCCAGGCTTCACTGGACCAGCAGAAATCCTTGCCATGTCATCCACCTCAACCTGGCAGATTGGACCCGGGCTGAGTGCTCAACTGTGCTGTCCTTCCCAACTTCCTATCTGTTAGTAACTGTTTAATTGATGAATAACAACAGCAAACAGTTATCTGGTGGGTAACTGCACAGATGGTAAAGAGTTTCTAGGGTTTTATCAATCAAGAGATACTAATTTTATCTGACAAGATCTGTCCTTCTTAAGTCTTTACTTCCAGTTAGAAAAGGATAGTCTCATATTAAAAAAGAATGATCCACCATTTAAATGCATTGTAGGATAAATGATGCAGGTACCTAGGTCCCAAAAGGCTTATTAACAAAGTACTAATTCAGAGGGACGTTGATTGGCTGGGGACTCCCTGATAGTGAGAGGTGGGGGTGGGGGGGGCACAAAACCTTCATGGATTTTGAAAACAAAGTGAAATCCTTCTCTCATGTAAGGGTTTTTGGGTGTAAACACATTCACTCCGTCCTTTGGACAAGATTTTCAACCGAGGTCCCGTCGCCTGTTCAGGAGGACATTAAAGCTCCCATGGCAGTATTCAAAAAGAGAAGAGAGTTTCTCTCTCCTGGTGTCCTGGCCAACACTTCCCCCAAATACAATTGGTCACTCACTCCATCACTGTTTGTTGGACATTGTTGTGTGCAACTGACTGCCGCATTTTGCCCACAAAATGCACAGTGATTCCACTTTACTGTGAAGCATTTGAGGCATCTTGACTACATGATAAGGCCCTAAATCAAATGCAAGGATTATTATTAATATTCATTTCTTATTTAAAGAATGAGATAAAAATAAATTTCTAATTCACGGTGGAGCCCAAACCAACTGAAAAGCCTTAGATGGATGCTACAGTTTCATTTTCGTGCTTTGCAATGGATCATTTTTGAGTCCGTAAAACAGCCTGTCTGAACATATTTAAGGGATACCGAACAAAATCAATCCGTTGTAGGGTAGTATCCTGGGAAATAACCCTGGCAGGCCAGTGTACGAGCTCACAAATGGCAAGGAAATTCCCCAGAAATCTTCAGGCCAACCTGTTGATTTTCAGTGTCAGTATTCACTCTTTCAGTGTAAATGTGAGACTGCTCTAACAGATCCATTATATAGAGAGCTACAGACAGAGAATAACACTGAGGGTGGGATCATTCTAGAGTAAATACCCTTCCTTCCATGGGAAGGTTACAATAAGGTCTCAGCTTGGCTCAGTTGACAGTGGGTCAGAAACTTATTGTCTTAAGCCTCATAACAGAGCTTGAGTTCTTAGTCCAGGCTGTGCTGGCAGAGTGCTACATTGACAAAGTTGCCGTCATTCAGATGAGACGTCACATCAAGATTTCAGCTGCTTGTTCAGGTGACTGTTAAATATTCTGTGGCAGTATATGAAAATAGAAAGGGCATGCTGGCCAACAGTACTCCAGATAAATTGGTCATTGACCTCGTGGCTGCTTTACACCTTGTTGTGTGTGTGAATTGACTACTGCCTTTGCCAACAAATAGTTACTCCAGATGACAGCAATTCCCTTTGGGACATTTCAGTGTTGTAGGTGTTATGTCAAATACAAAGATTATTAAATTAAGTTATACTGCTTTGCTCCAGGCCGAGTTGGAGTTAAGACGCTGAACGCAAATACTGCAGATGCTGGAAATCTGAAGACAAAAACAGAAGTCGCTGGGAACACTCAGCAGGTCAGGGGGAAAAAAAATGAGGCAAAAAAAAATTGTTTTGCCTGACCTGCTGAGTGTTCCCAGTGGCTTCTGTTTTTGTTTTAAGAAGCTGAGATTGAAGACTGTTTCTCTATTGCAATTGAATGAAGATGGTGTCGATTCCTAGGCGGGGCGAAACCTTAGGTAAGTTTCCTTATTCCACACGCCTCTGTTTACTTAGGAGTGTGTAGGAACCCAGATGTTAGTTGATTACTTTCCAGGGGTACTATTCCGTCGTGGGTCACTCAAACCACGACTGCTGTGCACAATTAATTGACTGCCGCATTTTGCCCACAAAACACACAGTCAATCCACTTTACAAAATATTTTATGAAGCACTTTGAGACGTCTCAATGATGTGATAAGGCACTATATTAAATGCAAGGATTATTATTATTTGAAACTAAAAACGTTTAATATAATAATAATAATAATAATAATAATAATAATAATAATAATAATAAGACATAATATGTCTTGAAGCTGAGTTTACCTAAAAAAGTTTTTGAATCATTTCGGACTTTTGAACACTTTGCATTTCTGGTGTTGAGATGTAATAGACTCAAATGAAAGTGAATTAACACAAATGCATTATAATAATCCTTGCACTTGATACAGCACCTTATCACATCTTTGAGACGTCTTAAAGTGCTTCACAGAATATATAATGTTAAGTGGATTGACTGTGTATTTTGTGGGCAAAACAAATTTTGTGGGTATATGACTGAAACGAATTAATGACTAAAATTCGCTTGATGAATGAATGATTCTCCATTGCCAGACGCCACAAATCACTTCACCCCATGCAATGTGAGAAAGGTTTACTGCTTCGCCACTAATGCCAATCTCATTAAAGACAATGGAAATATGATTTATCTTTTCTCTTTCAGGGAGCGAGGATGGCACAATGGCACAGACAAGGATTTAGCACAATTTCTTTGCATACTATCGTGGAGTCCTGTAGCTTAGTGGTTAGAGCATTTGCCTCGCAAGCAAGAGGACCTGGGTTTGATTCTTGGGCAGGGCGAAATGTTGGGCAAGTTTTTACCTAGCAGTAGGTAGGAACCCAGTTGTTTATCGATTGTCAGATCGCATATCCGGAGGTAATAATCCCCTAAAATATGTTTTTTTTTAAAAAATTATAATTTTGTCACTGAATCCACGACTGTTTGTGGGACACTGCTGTGCGCAATTGGCTACCCCATTTCGCCCACAAAATATACAGTCAATTCACCTTACAGTCTCGAAGACATGATAAGACGCTACATCAAATGCAAGGATTATTATTATTATTGTCTTATTTAGTGCATCAGTGTTTCAGGTTCTGTAATATGATGCTCAGTGCAAATAGGAAAGAAACCCTTTTCAGACACGACTTTTCCCTGGAGGAGCAGGAAGGATTCTCTGGCTGTTGGCCTCCACAGTGCCTGTCCTCTGTGTGTGAAGGTAATCGACTGTGTGTGGACACTGAGAAGCTTGTGTTCTTCAGCTACCCCAGCACTGTGTTCTGATGTTACTGGCTGATCAAAAACTTGTGGATAGGTCACTGTCCTCATTGCTGCAGGTGGAACATCTCAGTGTTGTCCTTAGGTGATCTCGTCAGTAAATGTGAAATTCTTAAAAGCCTACACCAGAGATTATTTCATTCTGTTTGTAAGAGTTTGTATAATGTGCAAATACGATTTCAAACTGTGAATTATGTCTACATAACTTGGTCCTGGACTAAAAGGCAAATGAAATGGGACTTAAAAATTTGATATTGGGGAGGGGCAATCTGGATGTTAATAAATGTGAAGTAAATTACAGCTGGAGCTACTGCAACAAATTGTAATGGGAAAGAATACAGAGAATTGGCCACGTGATTTTGAGCTCAGTCATTGACGTGCAGTAAGTAAAAGCATTTCCTTTTGAGTTCTGTACAGAAGTAGAATACATAGAATGTGAATCTTTGGAGTTTTAGTTTATTTCACTCGTTGGAATCCTAGAAAGTTTGCAACAGAAGGAGACAATTAACCTATCACACCTGCGTTGGTGCTACCTCCCCTCTGGAGCCCTCGACTTAAACCCTATATTTCTGCTGTTTTCCATAATGCCTGAACTGGTACAAACTCTTTCACCGGAGCTATCCACTCTAATCCTAATTTTCTGCTCCAGTTTTCTGCACGCAGGAGACATGGACGTATTTTATTAGATATTGTATTGAGGATTAAGTACTGAGGGTGTTTTAATATTTCCTGTGATCTGCCTTCCACCTCTCCAGATGCAACTTCTTTTAAAAAGCAGTTATTTTAGCAGAAAATGAAGCTTTAACTTCATGAACCTTTTCTGCCAGAAACAGGGTTTGATTCCAAAGGACCACAGAAATTTACAGCACACAAGGTCACTCTTTTAAGAGCAATGTTTTAGTCCCATTTACCTACCCTCTCCCTGACCCCTCCATTTACCTACAATTTCAGTGACTGCTGAGAATATTAAGTTCGAATACCTTTTACCCGATGTGCACATTGTAATTGGACCATTTGCTTCACTACAAGGAAGTAATGCTTAACCTTTATAAATCGCTGTTTAGCCCTCAGCTTGAATATTTGTCCAATTCTGGGTACCACACTTTAGGAAGGATGTCAAGGCCTTGGAGAGGGTGGAAAGGAGATTTACCAGAATGATACCAGGGATGAGGGACTTCAGTTATGTGGAGAGACTAGAGAAGCTGGATTGTTCTTCTTAGAGCAGAGAAGGTTAAGGGCAGACTTAATAGAGGTGTTCAAAATTATGAGGGGTTTTGATAGAATAAATAAGGAGAAATTGTTTCCACTGGTGGGTGGGTTGGTAACCGGAAAACACAGATTTAAGATAATTGTCAAAAGAACCAAAGGGGAGATGAGGAGAATTTTTTTAACGCAGCGAGTTGTTATTGTCTGGAATGCACTGCCTGAAAGGGTGGTGGAAGCAGATTCAATAAAAACTTTCAAAAGGGAATTGGATAGGTACCTGAAAAGGAAAAATTTGCAAGGCTATTTGAAAAGAGCGGGGGATTAGGACTGATTGGATAGCTCTTTCAAAGAGCCGGTACAGGCACGATGGGCCGAATGGCCTCCTTCTGTGCTCTAGGATTCTATGATGTAGTTGTACCTCTGGGGATTGGCACTTGAGTCTTGTACACAGTAACAGTAAAGTGCCCAAACATGGCTCATGTGTAGCTGGAGAGGCCGAGTAGCTCCAGCTGTGACGTTGACCGCATCATGTGGATCAATTTTTATCACCCACAACTCGATAACGTCTTTGTCAAAGGATTAAATTAGGACCTAATTACGCAAAGTCTCTCCAGCTATCAGTGCTGACAGACCCCATTCCCCAGTTGTGGATGTATTTTTGCCGATGTATTTATGGAGCTACTTTTCCCCTGTGTTCAGTGTAATTTGTGCAGTCGGTAATGTGTAATTTTCCATTGTACTATAGGCCGTTCGCACCGTGGAACTGCCTTTTGTGAGTAGAAGCCTGTGTTCTTCCTGCCTTTAGTCGCGTTCATTGTGCCCGAGCTTTGAGTTTGAAGCTGCAGTGTCTCCCAATGCATTGAGAGGAGCAAATCAGTCGCAACCCATTTAAGGTCAAATATTTAATGTGATGTGTGTTTTTTTTCTGTTGAAGTGAAAAGCTACCTCTGCATGGATCTCGTCTCCGAGGTGTGTACTGTGTAGGGAATGCATGTAGAAAGTGGGATAGGGAAGATCTTGAATCCGATTTGCCTATTTATTTATTTGCTAGATAGTGGCCCAAAAAATAATCACCGGTGAGAATGATCACATCCCCACAATTCCACTCCCTGACACATAAAGATGGTTAGTGCTAAACTATCACTTTCAAACCCACTGGGGCACAGCTGGGTCATGTAGCAAACCAATGATGGAAGGTGTCAAGGGCGAGTGATGCATATGCGAAGCTACTCATGAACAGTGCGGGTGAGTGCCTGTGACTGTGTGCAGATTCTTTTTATATTCTGCCTTCGGATATGAAAAATGTTGCCAATCATACATTGGCCATCGCTTGTCATCATGAGGAGGGGGTGTTGTGCCTTCCGTTACCAGATAGAAGCTTGCCAGGCTATTTCAGAGGACATTTCAATAGTCAACCACATAGTGTGGGATTGGAGTCACATGTAGGCCTTTGCGTTTTTATGACAATCTGACATCTTTGTAACTCTATTTCTGGTGCTAGCTTCAATTACCAAATGTTTGAATTCATATCAACAGACATGATCCCTGGGTTTCTGGTCCAATATCAATACCACTACATGACCCTTATTATCTGTGTCCACGTGCGTGCGTGCATGCGTTTGAGAACGTTTGGTTGCTCAGGGGTCTATGGGTGTGAGCATGCATGCGCATGCGTGCGAGTGCGAGCATGCATGTGTTCTTATTCTTGTTCTTTCCACCATCAGAAGGGCCTTGCTGGGTACTCTATCTTTTTCTGAACAGCTTGACCAAGACCAAGATCTGTGTAAGGATGGGTGGATGGAGGGACCTGGAGCCCCATTGGCTTTTAGAGCTTTTATTTTGTCCAGTGCCATCGTGCAGCTGAAGACAAGCCCATCCATCCCTCATTAAAATAGCCTTCTCTGGGGTAAGACATTATCTCTTTCTCCTCAATGGAGAATACTGAGAAGTAGATGCTGAGTGGATTATATGTATTTCTCCATGAGCGCTCTTTAAGTTACTACTTTTTGCCTTTCACAGTGCCTTTGTTGTTCATGCACCTGAAGAAGGCTTTAGGATTCAACATAGTGGCATTACTTCGGCATTTTTATGCCATTTTAAGTAGATTTTAGTTGGTCTTTATACATATGTGGAGTCCTGTAGCTCAGTGGTTAGAGCACTCGCCTCGCAAGCGAGAGGACCTGGGTTTGATTCCTGACAGGGCAAACCGTTGGGCAAGTTTCCTTATTCCACATGCCTCCGTTTACCTAACAGTAAGTAGGAACGTGGTTACTAGTTGATTGGTGGATCACTTTTCCGGGGTTAATAATCCTTTTTAAAAAAAATAATAATTTGGTCACTCAATCCACGACTGTTTGTGGGACACTGCAGCGTGCAATTGGGTACCCTATTTTGCCCGCAAAATAAACAGTTAATTCACTTTGCAGTATATTCTGTGAAGCGCTTTGAGATGTCAAAGATGTGATAAGGCGCTGTACCAAATGCAAGGATTATTATTATATCCAACGCTCAATACGCTCAATATCATTACTGTTGTAGGCTCAAAAGAGTCTTGCTTGAGCCTAATGTGCCAGAGGTGATCCCTCCCTAACCATATTGCTCTGACTTTGACCAGATGTCCCTCTCTCTGTCTTATGGGAATGTACTTACCTTGTTCTAGAGAGCTGCCTGACCCCTCCACTGTGTCTGTGACTTTGACAAGCAGCAAGTATTTAATTCTCTCACCATTTCTACGCTTGTTAATCTTGCCGGTCAACACCTTCCTACCTTGCCGGTTGACATCCAGACTGCCTCTGGCGTTTAGTCCATTCTTCCCTGAAAAAAGTGTCCCAGTTGTCTTAAGAACTGGACCATTCTGTGGACATAATTCAGCCAGACAGTGATTGAGCCTCAAGACACAATTGCCTTTTTTTTTAACCTTCTCCCTACCTCGGGGACAACTACCCTGAAACCAGTCACCATTCTCTCTATAGCTGTTCCATTGTTTGAATGAGAAGACCACAGTGATGGCCACTGGAGTACCCCAATTCAGGCTGGGGACCATTCTAGCTTTATCCCTGCCTTTGGCTCATGTAGGGAAGAAGACATTAGCCTCATACCTCACTGTGACTCCTATCAAGGTGTTTTCTGACCTAAAGGGTGTTTCCTTCCTCAACTAGAGAACGATTGGGCTGTAACTTTTTGGGCTCCAATGTTGGCATCGGCATCTGGTGTACTCAGGCCAACAATATCTTCATCCCCTTATTGAGGAATTCATTGGTGTGAACATAAGATGTGTTCATACCTTTCATTTAAAGTGTATTATCCTTGTGCTGTAGCAGCTGGAAGCAGTTTAGGGTATCAAGTAACGATATCTCCGTAGCCTCATGCTTGTGCTTGATGACAATAGCTTGCAACCCTCCTGGGTTTCCATCATCAGTTGATTCATACAGAGCTCAGCAACTCTGCAACTTTGGCAACTTTAGGATTAATGTGAATTTAAATTTAAGCTATGATTAATACACATTTGGAGCAAAGGAGAGCTTTTTAAAGAATCCTTTCCTGGAGTACAACACTCTGCAGGTGTACCCCACAAGTGCTGCATCAGCTTCTCGCACCTTAATCTTTCCTCCGGGAGAATGTCTTCTTGTGCCAATCTTAGCTCTTCTGTTGCTGCACGTCTGTGCTCTGTTAGAATAGCCAGTGAGCATTGGGAGTCACTCACTGAGTTCTTCTGCCAAACCAATGAGTTCACATTACCAAAACTCATGCTTATGCGGTGCAGTTTCCTGGTCAGCTGTACCTTGAGTACTGCCGAGTTCTGGTTGCCACAACATAACAACAATAATAGTAACAATAATCATTCCATTTAGTATAGCACCTTTCCCATCGGGAGAACATCTCAA